TTGTAATCACACAGCTATACGTTGTTCGGACTTTAGATGAATGCCTACATCCACGGAAAGTTAATAATTTTTTTTAGTATAAATTTATATTACAAGTACAAGAGAAAAAAATTATGTTAACCGTAATGGTGAAAAAAATTTCATAATTAACTCGTACTTGGTCGGGTCACTGGTGGGTTGAGCCTATAGTGGATGAAGCCTATTTCTTGGGTCCTGAGCTTGGCTCAAAACGCAACCCGACCCATGACTCATCTCCAATATAGGCCGGGTTGATCTCGACCTGGTGTAGGCCAGGCCGGGTTNGGGTTTCGACCCGTACCGGCCTGGCCGATTTGACCCGTGGTGCGAACAATCAAAGTGGTTCATGCCCAACCATATTTAAGGCATCCATGTCTCCGAAAATGCTACTAATCCTTAACGTGCTTCTCTTTTAGAGCAACTGTTTGTCTCTTAGCGCGTGGCAACTACTATTTCAGTAAGTAGATGGCAGATTACAAAGGCGAGAATGTGGGAATAAAAAAAATAAGATTAAAAAATTTAAAAAAAAGGTTGAGTAGCACTAATTCATGCTAATCCGTCATTACTAGATATTAGCAATCTTAGAGATCACTTCTTCTAGAATCCCCACATAAAAGTAAACTAATTATCCATATTCTCAATCCATATTTCATTACATATATATACCAAATCCTAATAAGCTTCATAACCCACGTACATACAGAATCCAACAAAATGTATCCCCCCCAAGATTTCACCCCTTTGCCCACCAAACTTCATACACAGAACCTTCTCGCCTTTCTAAAATTAAGGGTCTAAATATCATTGTCACTTAACATCTATTAACCACCACCTTTAAATCAAAACCAAAACCATAACTTAAAACATCCATTGCAAGCTACTCAACCAAGAAGAGAGAGAAACAAGAGAGAGAGAGGGAGAGAGAGGTGGGTTGAGAGTCCACCTCCTTCACCCACGATGGCCCACCACAGGAGACGGTTATCAGAGCCTCTCTCTTTTGAGAATGACTTGTTTGACAGTTGCCCTTCATCTTCCTCCTCCTCTGTTAATTATTGCTTTGTGCCAAAGTTTCCATCCTCAACTTCTTTTAATAACATCTTCAAGTCTAGATGTTTCTCTCTCAAGCTCAAGAACTTGTACCACAACATGGCGCATGGTAATGCAAACCGCTACGATGACAAAGGCGACGGTGATCATTCGGTTAATGTGGCAGTCCTGCCTCCTGATGCTGCGGTGAGCCGTAACTAGTAATACATATATATATATATATATATATATATATCCTCCAATCAGTTACTTGTTTTGTTTAAATGGTATAGAGTTAATTTATATTATTTTCCAAGTTTGCAATTTTTTAAAGATGTTTGTTTCTGTGTTGAGGAACTCTAACATAAGGACTTTGGTAGAGATTATCCATTCTGAAATCGCTCTTCGTCATATGATCCGACTTTTTTTATATCACGAACAACGCAATCAATTGGTTTTTGAAATTTTCTCCTGGTGATTGGCTAAGAATACCCTGCTCCTAAGTGGGTGTTCTCATCATAAGATTTGTACTGTAGGTACAGAGGTTTTCATATGATTAAACTTATAGAAATTATTATGTCCCAGATATCGTGTATATCTGTAACATTATCACGGGTGAGAAATCGAGTCTCTCTGAGTTAAATGCATTACTTTCCGCTATTCGTTAATTCTGCGATAAAGTTGCATATGATTTGTGTATGTTAATGTCCAAATTTTCCGTTTCTAAAGGTGTTTGTTTTTCACTGGAACATTGTTAGAGTGTATTCGTCCGTTAGGTGTATATCCCCATGTGAGAGTATTTGCTAAAGGTGATTACAAGATTAAGATGGCTTAAATTGAAGTTTAAGAGGTGCTAAATGAAGATACAAGTTATGTTGGAGAGTGCAGAATAATATGTTTTGTGGCCGGCAAGATAGGGACAAGAGTATCATCAAAGAATTTTTAAAATAATTAATTGATATGCGTCCTAATGAATGAGAAATATATGTATATATCCAAGATAAGGCTTTCAGCTATGGTACTAATCGCCTTTGTTCGTTTGTTTGTTTGGTTCAAATAGTGTGGCGTGGCTAGCCCATATTATGATATGGAGTTCTTCTTTTGTATTTTTAATCTTATTTTATGACTGATTAGAGTTTATTAATTTAGTATATAATCTTTTACCTTTTGCTTTCCAACAAACTTTGTGCTGATTTGTCTATTAATTAATTAATTGATGATCTACTAATTCATTTCCTTCCAGAAGAAAAAGAGTGGAATTGGAAGCCAAAGAAGGCAAGAGCTTGAACAAGAGGTAAGGAATTCTTTTATAAAGCATTGTAAGTTTCCATTAACTTGACAATGAGGGAAATTTGTGAACTCAATAAGATCGAAAGTATAGGACTAACTAAACATATATAGTTGGCTAGTTCACATCATAGATATGTATTGCCTTTGCAAGTCAATGAGTCACGGTTATTCCAAGGAATCTGATTGTTTTCGGCCGTGATTAAGGCACTACACCAGTTCCATAAATCTTGATTTCTAAGGATCAAATATTCCTCCAAAAGGCTTACTTCAATCTTGGACTTCAATTCTTAATTAGAGTCCAAGTGCATATATGACTTCTTATACCTACTAAAGCTACCCAATATATACTTTTTCTGTTATGCTTAACTTTCTAAAATTTTCAAATCATCATAGAACCAAAACTAGCTTAATTAATTGAAGTTAAGCAAAGACCTTTTAAAATTACCCTGAATCAAAGAAAAACCTGAACTACTGCATTTCAATTCTTTTACAACCAATACAGAAATGCTTCATAGCTATTTAAGTTGACCATACATCAAGGCCTACTTTAGCAACTTAAATATTTCAGTACGTTTTGCTGTGCTACTATAAGGACATTAATGCATTAACAAGTACATAAAAATTACATAATTGCGGCTGATAATTGAGGTTTATTGGTGTATTTGATCCAAAGCCATGACATCGATGAGAAGATGATGGTTTTTTCAGGTGGCCGACCTTCAAAATGTTCTTCAGGATGAGGAGAAAGTTCATCAAGTATTGGAACGTGCTTTGCTCCCACAGAATGGCAGATCTCCTCTTCATATTCCAAGCTTCCTTCCAAAAAAGGTAATTAAAATCATAATAAAGCATTTAAATATAAAGTAACTTCTTGACATAACTCGCGAGTGTTACTGCTTTACATATTAATTATGTGTTTATGTACATATATGTACTTTTGATTCCTTGGCATATTTATACAGACTAAGGAACTCTTGGCAGAACTAGTTATGGTTGAAGAGGAGATTTCTCGGCTAGAGAATGAAATAAGAAAAATTCGAAAAGTTTCGAGTCAGATTAAAGAAGTACAGGCTAATATGTCAGCCGAAGTTATATCATGCAAGCAATCAAATGGAGCTTTAACCTCTTTGGATAAGTCATTGGTTCAAGCAGATAATGGTACAAAGAGTAAAGCATATGAAGAGAAGGTAGCATTAGAGACGAAGCCTATGTTTTTTATAAACCAAGCGATAAAAGGAGATTATTCGATCCATGGTTTCACTGACAAGGGAAAGAAAGACGATAAAAATGACAGCATTAGCAAGAAGGAAGGCAGAAAAATATCTGGATTACAAGAGAGAATTCCGAAGAAAAGTGGGGCCATTGAGAAACAGTCTTCTCCCAAGCCACCACGCAATTCGTCACCTAGGGTTCGTATGCTTTTCTTAACTGAGTAAGGTTGTTTTTGGGAAGAAAATAAATTGCAATTTATGATGTTTGTGGGGTCTAATCAGAAAGTTTCAAATATATTAAATACATGGAGACTAAGAAATTTATGATTCAGATAATTTCCTTGAAGCTTAATTGAATATTGCTAAATTAGAGAATTCGGAAGCTAGCTAATCATGTTATATCTATTTCAAGAAGTATGTTCGTGTTAATCCCAGAAATCTCACTTTGAAGTTTCATTTAAGATGTACATGAAGCATTTTACTTGGTTTCAAAAGCATATGCTTTGAATTATAATTTCTGTGATGGTTATGGATCATTGTTCATGTTATATCTTCATAAAATTTGTTTCATTTTAACATTCCATTTCTCATCACCTTTTCTGTCCAGATATCAGATTCTAACACTGATGCGTTATTCAAATTCTTAAAACAGCCTTCAATCAGTGTAAATCCAGCGGAGAAAGATGGACAAAAATGGCAACCTAACAAGTTATCAGAAAAAATCATGAAGTGTTTACTCTGCATCTTCTTGAGACTAATAAGGACATCTCGAGTATCAGAGATAGAAAAATTGGGCAATTCATCGAGATCTGCCTCTTCATTCTCAAGATCGAGGAGCTTCAGGTTCGAAAATTCTTTGAATCTAAATACAAGCCTTATCAGCCAAAAGGAGACGGGGCAAAAAGATCCATATGGAATTTTCGAGATCGAAGACTCCCTTGTCAGAGACATTGGTCCTTACAAAAATCTTGTCAGGTGTACATCTAGTTCTTTGGATTTAAAGAATATTTCAAGTTGTCTTCAGCTGCTAAGCAAGTTAAGGTTAGTAAACAAGATTGAACTTCTTAATTGCAAGCGTATTGCATCTCATGAATTTATCCATCCTGCATTTTACATGTATGCAGAAGCATACATCATTTTATTCTTCTATGCAAATATATACATGTTGCACGCATGATAAATGTACGAATTTATGCATGTGATCGTTACATCTTTAAGCTAACCCGTATATTTATGACTATGAGCTCAAAGTTTATTTGAATTCTATTTCAGGAGCTTATTGAACAATCTTCGTGATGTGAACTTGCGATTCTTGACTCATCATCAGAAGTTGGCATTCTGGATCAATATTTACAATACCTGTATCATGAATGTCAGTACAACCATAACTTATTTATGTTAATATGTGCTCTTGAATGCCATTTAAAAGCTTTACTTGCATTTCTTGTGTTCGTTATAGGGATTCTTGCAACAGGGGTTGCCCTCAAATCCAGAAAAGGTTATTGCTCTTAAGAACAAGGTACTCATTTCAAATTTGTCAAACAATTTACATAACTACAATCAAAATAATAAATATATTATCATCAGATGAAATTAATCCGAGTGACGATATTTTGTTTAGGCCGTCCTTGATATAGGAGGCAACAAACTTAATGCTCTTGCAATAGAGCACTTCATTCTGAGACAACCATCAACCAAAGAAGAAGTGAGTATTTCTTCACTTGATCATATAAAACCTTTGATTACATTTAAACTCTTTACAAAATGAATCTTATATGATGTTTTATGGTGTTTTTTTTTGAAGGGAAACAAGGACAAAGAAGATGCAGTCAGAAGTATATACGGACTAGAGCAATCCGAACCCAATATTGCTTTTGCTTTATGTTCCGGCAATAGATCTTCACCTTCTGTAAGCGATTTCTTCCTTGTTCAACAAGCCTTATCACCAAATGTATTTGCAATGTCCAGTTACAGATTGAAAAGCGATGTGCAGGTGAGAATCTACACAGCTGATGGTGTTTCATCTGAACTGGAGAAATCAAAACTGGAGTATTTACAGGCATCCATTGTTGTGACTGGCACAAAGAGGCTAATGATTCCAAAGCTCTTAATTGAGAACATGCATGATTTTGCGACCGATATGGCTTCGTTACTCGAATGGATATGTAACCAACTTCCAAGTTCATGGTCTTTGAGAAAATCTATGGCTGAATGTCTAAAAGGCCAGAGCAATAGTAGGGAGATTTCTGATATCGTAGATATAATTCCCTATGATTTTGAGTTTCAGTATCTGCTGCCGGTGTGAGTTTAGTTATTTTTTGAAAGAGACTTGCACCTGTAGACGGATGTTAAATCCATTTTAAACCATAGGAAGTTGAGTTCAAAAAGGTAAAGGGCTTGTTTGTGATATTGGTAGGATGAAACTTGAGCTGAAACTCGTAAGTATCTGTTCTTTGGTTTGTAAGCTCTTTTGCAAGTGAAATTATTTATTTACTTATTTATATGAAGAGTTTAGAGTTTTGGTATCATCGTTACTCATGATTCAGTTAAAAATTTGTTTTCACCATTTTTTTGGCATCGCTTAAAGAGTTTTTTTTTAAACCAATTTTTTTGGTCAGAAAATAAGAGGTATTTTTTTCTCCGAAAAAAAGAGAGATTTCAACAATCATACTTATAAAAATTCTTATTAAAATTTCTCCTAGCACACGCATTACTTAACGCACTTACCCACAGAGTTGACTAAATGTATAGTTGAGAGAATAAAAAATTTTGCAGTTCCTCTC